CCAATCCAAGCGTTGGGGAATACATGATCTAAATATTCCCTCACTGTGTGGCGATAGTGTGTCGGACAACCATCATTCTGAAAAATGATGTGTTGGTCATCTTCAAGCTGCACGTTGCTTAAGAGGTCTGGGAGATCATTTATTAGAAAATCTAAGCAATTATCCCCGTTGAGGTGGTCCAATCAAATGTCTTCCAAAAACCCCTGCCCAAACATTTACGGAAAACCTTATTTGGTAAGACCTTGCCCTGGTTACTTGGGGGTTTTCATCCTTTGGTGCCCAGTGATGTAGATTATGCTGTTTGAATATGCCCTCACGAGTAAATTTGGATTCATCCGTCCACAAAATGTTTTTTTTTTAAATTGGCATCTTCCACATCATTATGTAGAAAGAAGCGACAGAACTGCAGACGTCGGTCATTATCGCCTTCTACAAGATCTGAAACCAAGAAAAAAGGACCATTTGAAACGCAGTATGCACTTACCCTCTCATCTGGCAGATGTTCGCGCGCGCCTACTTACAAAATACACTTGCTTTAAATACAGGTGTTTTTAATTTCCTAATGCATTTTTACATAACTCCATACATTGATTAACATGTCAATAAAAGATTTGTCTTTACCATAAACCGGAGTGTAGTGGAATGGAATTTGAATGGATGTCTTCCATCAGCGTTGACTACTGCCCACACCTTCCACATGGAAAGGCCTAGTTCTCCAGCCACTTTTCTCACACTAATGGTAGGATCGTCTCAAATGCTTAGAGAATTTGTTCATCAACAGTAACAGGCACTTGTCTCGTACTGAGTCTTGGTTCTCGATAAGTAATTTGCCGTCTCTCGTAATCGTCGGAAGGTATTTGAAAACGTACTTTGAGCTGCACGTGTGTTTCCATCGGCTAGGCCATACGCAAACAATGTCTGTCGCAAACAGAAACAAAGAAATAAATCATGATAAATCGGTTAAATGTCAGTCCTCCAATGACAGTCAAATATTTTTTATAAATTTAAAGGAACATAACAAAAAATACTTATTAAGGAGTCTAATCGAAAAGAGAACGATGTTGGAAGAAACTGCAGATTTTTTTTATATGGATTATTCCTAAAATCAAGTGGCAGTGGGCGGGGCACATAGCTCGTAGAGACGATTGCCGTTGGGGCAGGAAAGTTCTCGAGTGGCGACCACGGGCTGGAAGACGTAGCGTGGGCAGGCCTCCTACTAGGTGGACCGACGATCTGGTAAAGGTCGCGGGAAGAGCCTGGATGCGGGCAGCGCAGGACCGTTCATTGTGGAAAACCTTGGGGGAGGCCTTTGTCCAGCAGTGGACGTCATTTGACTGAAACGAATGGATTATTCCATTTTCATCCCTAAACTTTGTTTTTGACGAATTCCCACACCAAATTACTACATATGATATTCCATTGGAAAGAGGAAAAGCTAGAGATATTTTTAAGATTACTGGCAATCCAAAAATACCTTTATTTATTTTTTTAATTCAATTTAAAGTTGAGTTTTATGTCGATTTTTTTACTTTTAACTTTGGCGGCTCATAACTAGTTATCCAATCATTATTAGAAGCTGAAATTACTTTTATTGTACTAAAGACATATTCGTTATTAATATGAAATAAAAAAAATCGTTGAAAACACACGGGAAAATATTTTGTATCAGTTTTTAGGTCAAATTTCGGAAAAATTTCAGAAAAAAGAAAAACATCAATTAGGGTCAAATGGACGAACTTGTATTCTTAAAATGACCTTACCTATACACCCGCGAAGTTTGTCTAACCTTCCGCCAAACACCCTGTATATTTGTACCCGGATAAAATTTTCTTCAGTGGCAATCTTGCCAAACCTGCGCACCTTGCCACGTGTCGTCTTTGTACACTTGATTTCAATCCTAATGACTTAGCTTTTTTGAAAAGACTTACAATAATGGTAAAAGCAACCTTTTATTATGGTTTTTGGAAACACTTTCAATTGCTTTCATAGCACTCTTTTCATAGTCAAGCGTGATTTTCTTTGGCTTCCAGTTACGAAATGGACTTTTTATTAGTTCTAGCAAGATTTCATATGTCCTCTCTTTTTTATTATGAAGAAAAGAGAAGAATAAAGGAATTATTTGTTTTGTAAGTTTGTTGTACCCGTGTATAGAATAAATCTGCTGGAATAGTGCTGGACAGGATCGAAAAGTACCATCCATAAAGAAATGGTTAATTTTTTTTATACAAAGTTTTCCTCTTTATAATATAAGTTTAGATGACTGGCTCGTTTGAACAGTGGTTAGTGAGCCTGGCCACGGTTCCAAGTTGTATTGTGTTGTTCGATCCCCACCTGGGGCAAACATTCGTATTATTATGATGTTGTGTTTGTTCTATATTTGAATGTGAATATAATAATAATAAATAAAATATATTATGTACTAAAGTATTTTTTTATGTTCTTTTATTGCTCAATACATTTAAACAAATTGTGGTGAGACAACATCCAGTGAGTAATGGAAATACCCGTGTTTATTTCTAAATATGTATGTAGAATGTAGGTATATTAATTAGTCTCAGACACCCATACAAGCTTTGCTCAATTCATCCATTAATATGTGCACTTTATCCAAGACTCGCTGTATTTTGTTATTATTAGAAATGACAAAAATCCTTCAGTACATTCCATTTTTTCTATGAAAAAATGTGTACTGGCTCCAGCGTTCATGCCAAGATTCCAATGCATATTGTGTTCTTGGAACAAAGTGTGTGATCGGAAACTGTCCACATAACGCTGGTGGAAATAATGGTCGATTTCTTTTTACTATCACGGTTTCCTGCGTTTCAAGTGATCCATTGACATAATATTTGTTAAAACACGTTTGTACGATCCCTGCTGTATTTTGTGTGATCTCGGAGGATTTTGAAGGGCTTCCGGTATTTTATTATGATCAAGGATTTCTTCTTCTATACCCAGAAAATTATATGTTCATTTGTTCATTATATGTTCATTTGTCTTATAAAATCGTGCTTTCATTGTTTTGGTGAATTTGCTGGTTTACGAGGGCGGCACTGAAAATTTCGGGAATCAAGGAAGTGAAACAACATTACTATTTAAAAATGTATTTATTGCTTTTTAAAGTATTCTCCGCGAACTTTGACACATTTTTCCATACACGAAACCAATCATTGAAGCAACCATTGCATTCGGAAGTTTGGGTCTCCAAAATGGCCGTTTTGTAGGCTTCCACAGCTTCTTCAGGTGATTAAAATCTCTGACCACGCAATTTATTCTTTATTTTAGGGAAAGTATAGAAATCATTAGGGCTTAGGTCGGGGCTGTACGGCGGATGGACTAATAATTCTATGTTTTCTTGCTCTAAAAACTCTTTTGTTCAGTGCGCGGTGTGAGAACTCGCATTGTCGTGATGGAGGATGATGCGGCGGTTGCAGTTCTCTTTACGGAGTTCAGAAACGACCTGTGGCAAACAAATGCTAGCATACTAATCTGCATTAACCGTTCTTTGTCCCCCAAGAGGAATAGTCGCAACATGGCCGGTTTTGGAGACAAACGTGGCCACCATTTTTTTTGCAACACTCCGTGAACGAACAATTTTTGTTGGCTTTAATTCATTTTCGAACACCCAAACTCGTGACTGGTTTTTTGTTTCGGGTTCGTACGCGTATATCCATGATTCGTCACCTGATACGATGTTGTATACAGCATTTGAGGATCCTGCATGTAATCTCCCGAGAGTTCTGACGCACCAAGTAACGCGAGCCGCTTTTTGCTCTTCACAGAGCGAATGCGGTATCCATCGGGAAAACAACTTTTTTACACCTAATTGTTCATGCAAGATTATTTGTATTTGACTCATGCCAATGTCTAAAGTTGCCTGAATTTCGCGGTATATCACATGTCGATCTTCTTCAATCAGCTTACGCACAGCATCAACGTTTTCTTAGGTGACTGCAGTTTTTGGACGACCTTGACGGGGATCATCACTGAGCTTGACACGTCCACGTTGAAATTCAGGAAACCAGCGATAAATTGTGGTTTTGGATGGGGCTTCATTACCAAATGCAGAAATCATCCGGTCAACACACTGTTTTTGTGTTAAACCACTTCAAAAGTCATAATAAATCATCGCTCTTGAATTTTCTCGAGTCAATTCCATTTTCTCAACGACTAAACAAGTTTGACAAGACCTTGTGATACGACCGAGAATCTTTTTTTAAATAAATAAATGGTATACGATTTTTAAAACCCTGGAGTTTGCAATTAAATAGATTTTAATATGACTGGAATAGTGGAAATATTCCATTCCCGATACTTTTAGTGCAGCCCTCGTAGCCCTGAATAGCTGTGTGGATTTTTACCAGAATTTTCACTATGATGCATTTTCACGTATATGTGCATAGCACTTAGTTCTAGTCTCCTGATGTTCATTAATGTCGGTCCGTTTATATTGATAATATAAATTCTGCTAGTAAACGTGCATAATGTAATTTACATTAACTAAAGTATTGTAAAATTACCCGTATACTGAAGGTCCAACTGATTCTCGTTCTGTTATTAGTTTGCGTTTGCCCAATATCTGGAAGTTGGTAATTATCGTAAATTTTGGTGACATCACTCGCACACTCGTAACATACGTTGAATGACGATGACATATTACGTTTACCTTTAAAGCCACGTTAGTTACATCATTATGTTATGAAAATCTTAGTAGTACAATCGATTATTTATTTCAACAAAACAATTTATGCCGTTAATCATAGAATTTCTGGCAGTCCGTGAAAGAACCAGCGTTGCATCGCTAGTCACTTTTGTAGAAATGATCCTCGAGGTTTGTTTAGTTCTGCGAATAATACTGAATGAAAACCAGCACTTTTCTTTGGAAGAAATTATCGTGTCGCCGTGCAAAGGTAAACATTTTTTTTCTCGGAATAAAACCGTTGTTTCCTTCATACTTAAAGACTTATGTGAAGGCTGCTATATTGTCATTTGGTGTTCAAGCGCGCTCTGACTGAGACAAACTTAAAAATGCATTGTATAATGGCAATAATAGTTTCAAGTTTGATAATCAAAGTAATTTCAAGTGAAAGTGAGTTATTCCATATTGTTAAGCATTCATCAATTCATAACAAAACTTTGTAAATTAACGACAAACAAACTCATAAATACTTTTTTTCTATAGCGACTAAGGACCCGGCCAGTTCTAAAGATGTTCAACCTCCAGCAGGATCGGCAAAAGACGTTTCTAAATTAGACTCTGTTGGGTCCAATCCAATTTTAAATTCGCTGTGGGTTTATCAACCGGAAGCACATGTAAGTTTTAAATATATTTAAAGATGATACGTAAATTGTAGGCAAGTGTCTTTGTATTGTTTTGTTTATGGGCTGTGAGGAGGGATAGGAAGTGAGGAGTAAAAATATGATTTTTTGATAAGAAGGGAGCTACCTCCGTAGTCCCTGTCATCCCTGACACAGGCAAAACCCGGGACCCTAAAGTGGGATCCAGGCTGTTTTTGAAAGATTATAACGATAGGATCTGAGCTCTGTATAATACCGCATATGGTGCGAGTTAATAAATTTTGGGAGTAAGAAAGTAATTAAAATAAGATTAGAATTAAAAATATATTTGGGTATATCAACATTATTAAAATCTAGCCCTATGTAGATTTGTTTTACCATAAAATTCGTATGTATGTTCTATCATAAGTTACGTCATGTCTTCGATGGAAAGATATTTACGTACCTTCTCAATAATAATAATTTTGTTGGTATTATTTTATATCTCTTCATCATAAAAATGCTTTGAAAATAAAAGACCGATTCGTAGATCCGTTTATATTTTACGGAGATTGTGATTAACTGAATATGATTAATAATTTTCAATTATGTAATCACAACTTATTATAAGTAACCGCATTATTTACTAAACATGTGAATATAAAATTATATTCATTATTACTTTTTGCAGTTGTTATTAGTAAATTTATATCGGTAAAAGTCATAAAATTGTACAAGTACTTATCTAAAAGAAACTTACATGCAAAATAAATTTTATTCTTTGTTTTTGCTAAAAGCAGACAAGAACATGGCAAAATGTAGGTATCAATATTTTGGCTTTCCGAGGCGATATTAATTTCTTTCCTATTGGCATCGTCGTTAGAAGTTTCTTTAGAATCTTCCTGGTTTAAGGTAATAATCTTAGAGTCACTTTGTGATTCAGGTTTAATTTGTTCATAATGCGTACCAACCAGGTGCACGTCCGATGTGTGGTGCGAAAAGTCAGATACATCGACAACAATAATGGTAATCTTACCAATCGATCAACGTGGAAAGCATTAGGAGAGGCCTATGTTCAGCAGTGGACGTCCTATGGCTGAAATGATGATAATGATGATGATGATGAATGGCATCTTATGGGTCTTGAAGATTGTCTAAATCTTCTTCACTAGTAATATGTGAAAGAAATGTTAACAGCAAGCAATTATTCTTTGGTTTTGTTGAAATCAAACAAGAACATCATAAAATGTAGGTATCAATATTTTCCCCTATTCCACCTATCCCACCTGGCCATCCCGCCAGGGTGGGAGGAGTGGAAAAAAAATACACTCTTCCCATCCCACCCAGGTGGGATTAGAGGAACATTTCAATTCCCCCCGTTCCACCCATCCCACCCGGCTATCCCCATGTCAAGATCCCAGTATGTCAAATACCTAGAAAGTAAAACTCCCAGAATGTCAAATTTCCAGAATATAAAACCATGGACGGTGTAAACTCTCACAATGTCAAACTCACACAATGTCAAGTTCCCAGAAAGTCAAGTTCCCAAAATGTCAACATATGTATTTCCAAAATGAAGTTATCACATTTGCTAGGCATATTAGGTTTTGTTCGATACCAGTTTACGCTGTTATACGACATTAGTACGTCATACCCCCGTTCCACCCAACCCACCTGGCTATATAGTCAGGAACAGCGGGGCCACCGGAGACTGGGAGCCTGGTCGCTGTTGTGTTCCTCATTGGGGGATCATTGCCGATACTCGCCACGCTTGGCAGGCGGGTTGGCGAGCGCAATTTTTTATAAGTTTCGCACGCATGTGTACTAAGATTAAACTCATGAATGTGATTATTTTTTTACTTTTACTTTAACTTTTGGTATTCTATTAATAATGATAGATTTTTTAGTCTTCTTCTGCTGCCTCGCCTTATCCCGTTATGCGGGTCCGGATTTTTTATTTGTGGAGTCCCAATACTTTCATGTCATTTTGTACATTCGTCATCCAGGTTCATGCTCTCTTTTGTGGCGATGGAAAGGCACTTTTAAATCACGATAGCCAATTTATTACTAACTTCAAATAATCACACTTACCGTAACATAAATAGAATCTTCAAAAAATAAATAAAAGTATACAATTTGTAAAAAAGATTTCTTCCACTTATTGGTACATGCTTCGTTTTATAGTGGTCAAAAACTGTTTTTTTTTTTACATTTATTAACATTTTACAGCAATCTCACGTACCTGGTGACGCTGGGACAAGGCGAGTAGTAATGAAACCAGCTCATTCTTTGACGAGATTGGCTAAAACATTGACACTGGGATTTGATCCCTATTTCAGTAAGGTACGAGTACATATATTTTATTGCTATAAACATGTTTAACTAGGCTCATTAAAATATATTTATACGTGTAAATGGATAGTTAACAGTGTGGCCATGTGTACATATCCATGTCGCAGTCGGATTGTATAATCCGCCGTTTTACATCACAGCTAAGCATTTTCCATTACAGCTTTGTTTTGTAAAACGGCAATTCAACGTTTACCCGATAGATTTCTTACGATATTCCTTAGTGATTAAGTAAGAATTATTATCTTCGTTACTGTACACTAATTAATATATTTAGCTAGAGTATTTTTTTTTACTTTATTATAAATCACAAGGGACAGCCATCAAAAACAAGTACCTAACTTAAAACAAATAAACTTTTCTAAACATTTTAAGAAATAATTTGATATTTGGCTTAAGTCTTTGAATATAATTTAAATAATCACAAGGGACAGCCATCTCAAAACAAAAGGTAACTCAAAACAAATAGGTACATAAAGTTTTAGTATTTTTTCTGGGTTATTTTTCTTTAATACTAAATAATCTTTACCGTTGCTGTGGCCAGTCATAATGTCATATTTTTACATCAATAATATTATAGGATACCGCTGAAGATCAGAATTCATAGCCACTTTAGCTGTTTTGATGTGGGTTATAACCTCTAAAACTCGGTCCCTTCTCCACGGTTTTTCTACAATGTAGAACACATAGACACAAAAGATAAGGAGACATGTAAAGTGCCCCATAAGGGCTACCTTTTCTTTTTTTATTATTTTCTATAATAATATTTTGACGTTCATAAGTGCCACTTGTGGTCTAAACTGAATAAATGCTTTTGATTTTGATTTTTTTTTGATTGAGAAGAATAGAAATTCTTTAATTGCACATTAATATTGGTTTTAAAGTCACTGTCGACAGACATGTTTATCACGTTTTCTTTATGAAACTCACAAATAACTCCGCAATTTAGCAATACACTTTCTGTATCCAACTCCATTGTTGTTGTTATGTCAGGCAGCGTCACGGTATTGAAAATGGGAACTAAAAACTGTCAAAGCGGCGGGTAATGAATAACAAGCTGTTTTACATTACGGCTAGCCGTATTGTACCTAGAACGTTTGGCTTTGGCGCCGAATACATTCCGGCGGATTTTCATTCAGCCGTATTCAATCCGGCTAAACGGTAAGCCGCCGTATTACAAAACAGAGACAGATAAGGAATCATGTAAAGTGCCCTATAAGGGCTACCTTTTCTTTTTTTTGACGTTCATAAGTGCCACTTGTGGTCTAAACTGAATAAATGATTTTGATTTTAGAGCCGTAACAGAAAATGCCTAGCTGTAATGTAAAACGGCGGATTATACAATCCGACTGCGACATCCATACATGATTGGTGGTTTTCACGAATAAAATATTTGTCCTTTAAGTATTTGTCCCTTTTGTAGCCTCATAATCTCACTGGTGATATGAACATGAAACCCTCTGATTAATTTATTTAATCCTACTAGAAGGTGGGTTTTTTTTGGAACATACGAGTAGTTTCCTTTAATGGCTCGTCTCTATCATCCTTTTTGAGTTGTGTGATAATGACTTGTAACGTTCCTTCCTCTAAAACTATTTTTAAATTCTGGGTGTCCTCAAGTTGTCGTTATAAAATTTAGAAGAACATTCACAATTCATTAATGTGGACACTATTCCAATGTTCTGTCGTAATCGCGAAACAAACGGTTGAAGGATTGTGTATTTCTCTTTTGAAATTGAAAGGATTTCATTTCTAATAATGGCCCGACTATTGGATTAGTCTCAATATTATTTGTTAAAGGGCTTCCAGTAATCTGAGAAACTAGTCCTTTTGAATCTCCAATCTCCATACTGTGGAAGTTCTCTGTAGTCAGAACCCAGTCTTAGAACCCAGATTAGCCCAAAATGTGCCTTCATAGTATGGTGAATGTGCCTTCGCGTTAGAGTGTCTACTTTATACATATTGCTCAAAAGCTGAATTTCTGGTTCGTACACCAGATTTTTCAACTACAGAGTCTGCTGCACCCTGATGTTTTATGTTGACCACACGATAAAAATTGGTATGGCTCCAATCAGTGTTGTACGGAAAATATGAACCGTAGTCTACAGAGTCGAATTCCTCGACAAATCGACGTTATTCTGTATTTTTTAAAATCTGAGGAAAAACACAATAACAAGTTATATTAAGTGAATTAATTGACAAATTATGTTTTACTTAAATTGTTTACATTTCAGGGATATTTTGAACCCTTTGAAAGAAGGCCGAAACCAGTTACACTTGTCGCCTTCCGAAAAAATGGCTTGTTACCTAGAACGAAAACTAATGTAAGTACATTACATACAAGTAAAACCGGATGAACTGAATTTGTAACTAATTTTAATTAAATATACAACGTGTCCCAAAATTCAAGGATAAGCCGGCGCCGCAGGATGGACATAGTCATGACTACTTTAGGAAAAATAACAAAAAAAAAATAACAAAAAAATATATCTTAATTATTTTTTAAGTTACACAATAAATTATGAAACTCTTTGAAAATTGACACCCCTTATGATATTTAAAATTACCACGACCACCATTTTTCAAATATTTCTGTTTTTTTGTTTGTATCGGCAACTTAAGTAGTGCCTTGCAGTTTTTACACAAAAGTTAATCAAAATATGTAATTTCCTTGAAATTTTGAACGATTTTTACTTTCACACCAATTTGACTCGTCGTTTTGTAAAAAAAAAGTATGAATACTACTGCGGCAAGTTTTTTATAAAGTTGACGCAACTAGCCAAGATTCCAAAATGGTATAATACTCTAAGAAAACTAGTCAGAAACAAGGTGGTAATAACGTCCTGTATCCAGCGTTCTGCATGAATGACAGTATACAATTGTCTTTTAAAAAATCTTCGTTGAAGTCACCAAAAAGTAATCTTGACGTATTGTTGCAAAAAACAATTTTGTTTATGAACTCCAGGAAAGTTCTGTTTGTACATCTGGGTGATTTGTATGGTTCTATATTGGCTCACATAAAATTCTAAATCCTATTCTTTGTCTTACTACCGATTTGTGTTCATAATAATCTCTCTTCATAATTTTATTTTTCATACTTTTTTTATTCATACATTTTTATTACTACCATCGGAGCTCATAACAGTTAGTAATCATAATTTTTTTATCATAACAGGAGCTCATAACAGTTAGTAATAATAATGTTACTACCAAGAACCATTTAAATACATAATTTTTATTTTCAGATATTTTTTCTTCATAACATTCATTGATCATATTGTTTTAATTAATAATGTTGTTACTAAGAACATACTTCAACTCATAATGTTGTTGTTCAGAATAATTTACTTTATAACAGACATACTCGTATCTTTAAAAAAATCATATATAATTTAATAGAGTAGATAAGCATGCAGAGCATGCAGCATGAAAGCAAGCATGCAGCATGCATTGGTATCTCCTCGTCTCCGGCGCTGCGGGATGTGCAGCCCTTCCGCCCTTGCGTAACGAGGCTCAGGCACCCACGCTTGCTTCCGCAGCTTCGGCTTTTTGGATCGCCATCGGCGCCTTCGGCGCCTCGGCGACCAGCCTCAGCCGCTCCAGCTCACCCGGGCGCCTGAGCCTCGTTACAGCGGGCGAGGGCTGCCCTCCCTCCGCGCCTCCGGCTTTTAAATTACACTCTAGGGGTAGGGCAGACAAGACTACGTGGAGTCGGTTTTGCAGCGATTCGTTTCTGTCACGTTAGTTTTGTGGCACAAAATATTGCCTGTTTTGGACCATTTCAAATTAATTTAATGTTAAAATACGATTTAATACGAATATAGACATCATGATTTTCAATAATATGGATAAATACACTTATGAGTAATAAATTTATGAAAACAAATATTAGGATACATCACATTTATGAATATTATAGTTATTTATTCGAATGATTATGAGTTTCGATCATTAGTATAGAAAAATATATGAAAACAAATATTAGTAAAAACTAAGTGTATGATTAGTGATATTATGAATATCAATGATTATGTTTTTAAATATGTAGGTTTTAAATTTTTTATGAAGAATGATCATTATGGTATCAAATTGTATGAGAAATATTTTCGGACCTCCAATGATAAGAATTGAAAAGTTATGTAAGAAAATGCGCTACCGATTTGTATAATGCAAATAATCTATGATTATTATATTCAAATGAAACTGCTTCAACGTGACCAAAAGTACTGGACTGTTGGAAGTAACTTCTGGGAGACGTGATGTGTAAGTTGAGATTCCGAAACCAGGATTTGACGCCGCTGGCTTAGGTCCATTGGTTCTAACGATTTCTACAAAACTTGGTAGAGAGAATGAATCCTCATTGCAACTCCAAGTTTCTGATGTAAAATAAACGTCTGATGCTAATATTTGCGAGTCACTGGCTATATCTGGTACCTATGTGTTTTTTCAAAGACTGTACGTTATGGTACATAATCTGTGTGAAATTATGGCGCTCCCTAAGAAATTTAAAAATTGGTACTATTGGTTTCTCGCGTAACTTTGCCATTTCTTTTACAATAGCATCTTTACTAGTTGGAGGGCGGGGTGCTTTGAATGATTCAGTCACTATAAATAGACCTTGCGCTGTAGTCGCACGAGAACAAGCGACATACATCATAGACCTTTGAATAGTAGGTTTTAAATGGACAACAACTCGTTCTAATGTTGTACCCTGACTTTTGTGAATGGTGATGGCTTCAGCTGGAACTAATGGGTATTGACTTTTGCGAACTTGTAAGTGTGATGATTTGTATCTTTTTATTGTGTATGTGACCGGTTCTAACGGAGTCCAATTTCTATGTAATCTACTTTTATATCGACTTAGTGAACTAACAGCGTTATTTCTCTTAATTTTGCCAATAATAGCTTCATTGAAATTCAACCAAATCCGCAACGTTCGTTTTTCACCCGTTTTTTTGTTAATAGCAAAATCAATAGCTGTTAATACTCCAGTAGATCGTTTGTTAGACCATCAGCAGTATCTAGTATATTAATTGTCAACATATATTTTGCCCCTACCTTCAATATGATTTTTTTAGGAAGTCCATATGTTTGTTGAGTTGACAACTTAGAAACAGTTTCTAAGGCTTTCTCCTTCATAGTGACATTTGGTTCTCCTGAGACAGAGTCGATTGCTAATGACAATGCACCTTCACTATCCATAGTCGACAGAACTCTACTGTTATGGTCGTCTACTTCACGGTTGCTAGCATACAAATTGACAGCGCCTCGAGCATCATCTGGTAAAGTAGAAAGACTAAAACAACGACTTCTAAACAGTTCGATATCGTCACTCGTCATGGTTCCACTTGCTAAATTATTTCAAGCCAGAGCAAAGGCAACATCGTCTTTCTGTCGCATTATTTGGTTCAGTTCTGTAAGAAGAAATAGATCACAAATAGGTGTCCCCGAAATTTGCGCAAGAGGATTTCGTGAGCTAGGTTGGAACACCCAGTTGTCACCAACTGGTGGTAATTGTCTAAAGTCACCAACAACAATAACAGATATTCCAGCAAATAAAACTGACGAGTTAAAAATTTGCTGCAACCGACGGTTTATTTGGTGAAAAGTTCTGGATCCAAGCATTGAAATTTCGTCAATAATAATTGTTAAACGTAATTTTGATAGTTTTGTTGCAAGTGTATTGGCAACGCTCGGTGAAAGTTCAGGTAAAATACTTCCTGCTTGTGAAATAGGTAAACCTAATGCACTGTGAACAGTTTGGCCACCTAATCCAAAAGCAGCTTTTCCTGTAAAGGCCGTAAGTAAGATTTTCAAGTCATCTGGGTTAGAACCAGGTTCTCTATTAAAAGTAAGTGTTAATGTTTGAAATAAGGCTCTTATTAAAATACTTTTACCGACTCCAGCTCCACCGCTCACAAACAGATAAATAGGAGAAGACGAATCAGACATTTTGTCAGTGACGTGAAACAATATGTCTTTTTGGTCAGAATTAAGTTTTCGGGTCAAAGTTTAATACTTGATCCTCAGTAAATTGTGCAGGTAAGGCTATATAGTTGCTGTTATCACTGTCTAATTGTGGTCCTGGATTACCACCGGGTATCAAGTCTTCAGTGACATCTCCTATCTGTGTCTCAAATTCAAAATCATTAAAAGGATTTTCATTAAGTCCCCTTCCGGTAAATTCTTCTTTACTTTCTTGAATTAACTCTGAATTTCTTATGGCTATTAATTTTAATGTTTCAAATTGTTTTGGTCCTCCTAATTTATTAAATTGTTCGCTTTCAAGTTTTATTATTATATGTATTATATTTCTTCGTTACGCCAAGGAATATACAGCATAAGCTGTTCTCTATAAAAATTATCTGGATCGTCTAAAAAACTAAAACGTCTGAAGCGAATTATCCTTGAACTTGCTTTTCGTCGTATAAATCCTAGATTGTCTTCTAATGCCCACCAATTACCAATCATTTCATCTATGTCGTTTTGAGAACAGTTACTATTTGGACTACTATTTGGTTGAGTCACTGGTATACGTGACAAAAGTGGACAACGTTTAGAATAAACAAAATAGGCTGCAAAGTAAGCTAAACTAATATCTTATAAGGCAACAGGTCGTTTTGCGTAGTAATCAATGAAACTATTTTGGAAAATGTCAGATGAATCTTCATCCAGTTTGGGTTCGTTGGATTTGTCTTTTCGAGCACTTTAGTGCTAGATGATGTCCAGGGTCCTGATGATGAAGTCAAGCTTGTTTTTATAAAAGTTTTTTTTTTATTACAACTTTATTCTAAACTTTTTAGTTATTTCTCAATCTCATGGCCCAATGTCTCATGCTCGGGAAGACAAGTCCAACGAACCCAAACTAGATGTAATTCCGCCGTTTCGTTTAGAAGTTCCTATGGCCACCTCCAGACTCCATCCAGCTCAATGGTACCATAATACTGCATTATCATCGTACTTACACAAGTATACCCAATTTCAGCTCAATTGGTTGAGGAGAACTGGTTTTAAATTCAGCTGCAAGATTTATCCCACTCTAACTAACAAGCGAAGTGCTTGTAAAAATGGTACGCATATCTTTTTTGCGACTAGGTTGCATAGAGTATTATACCCTTTTAGAATCTTGGATAGTTGCGTCAACTTTATAAAAAAAACTTGCCGCAGTAGTGTTCATACTTTTTTTTACCAAACGATGAGTCAAAGTGGAGTGAAAGTAAAAATCGTTCAAAATTTTAAGGAAATAACATGTTTTGATTAACTTTTGTGTAAAAACTGCAAGGATTTTGGGGGTTTTAAGAGTTGGGATGGACAGCAACACTACTTAGGTTGCCGATACAAACAGAAAAACAGAAATATTTGAAAAATTGTGGTCGCGGTATCGTAAAATATCATAAGGGGCGTAAATTTTCGACGAATTTCATAATTTATTGTGTAACTTAAAAAATAATCGAGATAGATTTTTTTTCTTATTTTTCCTAAAGTAGTCATGACTACGTCCATCCTGCGGCGCCGGCTTATCCTTGAATTTTGGGACACGTTGTATAAATTACTAGCTTTTGCCCGCGGCTTCACCCGCATGAAATTTTGTTTGTCACAGATCGTCATAAATTATAGCCTATATGTTATTCTGGGTTATAGACAATAAGACTGTAAAGTTTCAGCGAAATCCGTTCAGTAGTTTTTGCGTGAAAGAGTAACAAACATCCGGACATCCAAATTTTCGCATTTATAATATTAGTGGGATTTAATTTTAATGAGTTTTGGTTTGGTTATTAAACTGTTTTACTATTATTATTTAAACCTTGCGTTTAATCGTGTAGTCCACCATTTTTTCGGTCTGGGGCAAACATTTTACTGGGGTGCGTAAATAAATATACTGTTAGGCGGTTATCACACTGCGCCGCGTTCCGCCGCGGAGCGCGTGATTTTCATATACAAAATCACGCGCGAGGACGCGTTGTCAGTGTGAAATGCCGCGCGTGTTTTCTATACAACCTGAGGTACTTGCATACAATGATTAAATCTGTCGCCCCGCGCTCCGCGGCGGAGCGCGGCGCAGTGTGATAACCGCCTTAAGGTTACTAATACTAAAATTTTTCGGCGCTATTTGCAAAATACTTCTTCAACATATATTTTTTTACGACAGACGGGAGACGGCAAGTCGGGAGAAGTAGCTGAACTTCAGTCGCCATTCAACGATATCAGCAACTTTTGGGTGGACGATTAATAAATGACCTCGAAACAGCAATCAATAGTTATTAATATAGATTTCCTAAATATGTGTAGTTTAAATTATTACTTTGAACAGGGTATAGATAGTATCACCATGATCTAATGTGCGAGTTAACTATCAGAGGCGCTTGATGTGGTTAATGATTATGTCAATCGCTTTACCCTAGTAAAAAATCGGTTGTGTTTTTGTTTGTCAATGAAGTTATAACTATGTATATTTTCACGCAAGTGCCATAGTCAGTGTTACCACCTTGCAGAAAACTTTTTCACTAGTTTTGGTCTGAAATATCACAAGATTTAGGGATCGTTCAAGAAGCTCTTTAAAAAGCTCATATAAAGGCGATTCCTTGAAGGCTCTCACTCTCACCTTATACATCGAACTAAGCAACTCTGCTGTGTAGCAATTATGTTCGTTCAAAGAGAAATGCAATTTCAGTTCATCCCATTGAGACAATATTCTGGTCACTGTTTGTTCAATAGTAAGGAGTATCACAAGAGCGCAATGTTTTTAAAGGTCGCTCGTCACAATTTATTGTCTCATATATATCTTTATACTCATCACTGCAAATGTGAGAACCAATTATAGGTTTCTCTAATGAGAAACTATGTTTCGCGGTAATGTTTGCTCGGATGCATGTGACTGACACTGCCAATTGCAATGAATGGCAAACACAACTGACACACTGACTAGAATTAAATTAGTTGAGCCATATTTAGTTTTTAAAATATTATGTACACCGTTATTGACTCCCGTCATGACAGAGGCATTATCCACTCCAATTCCAATTAAGTTTTTCAATAGAATACCATGTGCTTGTAAGTTTACCAAGGCAGTAACAATGAGGGTTTTCGCGAATGAAAAATCCGCCAGATGGCAATACGTAGAATATATTCGCGAAAACCCTCATTCCAAGAGCATCCGCGTTCTTCAGTGGTATTAGAACCACGCTAGAAATGCAGATACCACTTTATTTTGCGTGCAACTAAAATATCGAATTACTATGCCCAATAATTTTGATACACTGAGGTCAGTGAACTTTTGTGATCCAATATAATCGAATAGCATTTGTTTGAAGTGTGGAGTTTGGAGCTAACACATTATTTATTACCGCGCTGCATTTCGTTCTGTGCATTTTGATGTGAATAACACTTTTTGAATCAGTGATACAATTTTTAAAGCTTCAGTTAAATGGTCAATTACATAGATCTGTGTTCTACAATGAGCAGAGACAATATTCCTTCAACTTTTAATTTATTTGTACTAATTTTAGAAGCCGGCAGAAAATGGTCAAAGTACAAAAGGCTTTTTGAGGAACGTTTGCTACAGGCCGTAACTCAGTTTTGAATTCTTCTTGGGTTTCCCATTCTTGCCGATATTTTTAAGAATAAAAAGTCTTTTTTCACTGGCACGTCGTCCATGGCAATGAGGGCTATCGTTTTAGCGCTCACCAGTTAGCGCCATTGTAGAGTGAGGTCCTGTCACTTGCTAGTAGCGAAGACAGTGGCACCAACTGGTGAGCGCGAAAGTGGTAGGAGGACTATCGCATTTGCACTCATCAAGATGGCGCCACTGTAGAGTAAGGTCCTGTCAATCGCCAGGGGTGCCAACTGTTAAGTATAAAAACGATAGCCCTCATTGGAAAAAAATACTCCACAAAACCCAAAGGAAAGTAAGATCTTGACTTGAATAATTACAATAAGCAGTTAAGCACGGGACTATTCCCACCTCTCGTTCCCACCACTGCAACTCCTGTGTAGCCAGGATCTACAGCTTGACCGCCACAAAAACCCAACCAATGAAGGTCAAGTTTGTCCCGGGGGAAAGTTAAACTGTCATTGGACCCGCAACGAAATTAATCAGAAGAAAATAGGAGGAGTTCGAAATTAAGGTAAGCAGTTAAGCAGTATGCTTCAACTTTCGCCTGCAATACTAACTTTACTAATGTTAGGTTTTAGCCTCTCATATGAGTTCGCGCGCGCAAATTGGCGACCACCTCGGTCCCCGCGCGTGGCGACCTTGGCTCACTATTTGACCGATTGCTCATTTTTTTAATTATTGTGCTTTACGGCTCTGGGTGCAAGCCCTTTTGAGTTTGAGCCAGTCGTTCGTTGAGTATTTAACAATATTGTAGCATTGCCTTAATAAAGGTATAATAAATAAATATTTGGATTTTCCATAAAATTTACTCTAAGGTGCCTAAATAATTTTGTTCCTTTATTAAAAGCTGTAAACGAGAATAATTCGTAGGTAATTTTTACTTGGCGGTGTATATTTTACTTTAACCCGAATCCAAAACACAACATTCGGAAAATAACATTAGAAATCATCAGATATTTTTTTGTGATTTTTTCTTTAGAAAATCACTGTCGATTCCTAAAATTCACTAGATCTAGTGACAAAATCACTACGATGGCAACACTGGCCATAGTACCTCAATAATCTAGTTTTCAAATCAGTGCGGTCCAACAGTTCGGAGTCGAAACTTAGACCATGGTAGTAAAACTAGCTCACTTGGGATCTCTTAAAGGATTCGGAAGGAAATGATAAACGTTTCACTGACACTCAACTTTATATCTCTAGTTCGTAGTAAGGATAACAAATAAGTTAGAAGAAAGAATCATTTATTGATTAGAATCATTGTCAGTCTTGTCCGTTATGGTATTGCCGTACCACACATAGATTAAAAAAAAACAGTGAACCGCAGCACAAAAATCACTTTTATTGAAATCGTATTAAAAAGTATATCGTATGTATGTTTATATTCTTATGTTTATGGAATAATAAAGATTAAAAATATTATCATGGCCATAAAGTTTACTTATGTGTTATCGTCAAAACAATGAAATTCTAGTTATGACTATACACAGGAAAAAGTTTTTATCTTTAATAATTTCATGTATTTGTTGTGTTGCTCGCGCGAATATTTCCAGCGATTCGGATGATAGCAGTATAAAAGAAGCACTAGTTTTAGTTGATTTACTTAAAACAGGTAGGGACTAGAATGAATTCAGTAACGATTCGTGCTTCTGTGATATTAGTAATATAAGTCAAACTGTTCGTCTTGGAAATGGTAATTTACCTTTAAAGAATACATCAAAGCTTTACGGGAAAATGTCGCTGGAATTTATTACGAGGAGAACAATAATACCATTTTTGAAGATCAGTCAACCTGTGCAACCACAACGATGGGACCGCACTTCAATGACAGCCAAGGCAATAATAATTTATGTAAGTTTTTATAATTTACTTTCATTTAACCTCCCTAGCTAGCTAGTCTAGTTTGTAACTAAAACTAGTACACGTAGTCTTTCTAGAGCACGGACGGTTTTAAATCAGACTAGGTAGGTAAATCTTTTTCTTTCGCCTTTCACCTTCCTTCGTTTATAATATTCATTACACCATGGGCGTACCCAACTTCTGGTCAGATTTTTTCTTGTCAGATTTTCCGCTGCTGTTTTGTCTTATGGCTATACTACTTATTACTTATTTCCATAAACTAATACATAGCAACGATATATTTTCGATTTTGTATGTCTGCTCTTTATATTTATTCTAAAAAGGTGAACATTATACACCTACATGAAACAATAGGTATGGTCTAATTGCCGCAAAAGGTTCTACTTTTAAAAGTGACTTTCAAGGATCTTCAACAAAGCGGATTACGACGTCTTCCGTGAAAGAATCACCCATATAGGGTAAGTCCGGGAGTCTCCTTATTAGGAGACAAAAAATACGCACATGATTTTCATATGGGCGCTGACCTCGGTCGTTTATTTAATCAAGTTTTTTTGTTTTTGGAGTGTAATCTACAGGGTGGAAACGATAAGTGATCTCACTCGATAATTTCTAAACCATACAAGATATCTAAAAACTGGTTACTGACCCTGAAAGTGTTTTACGAACTCTTTCAAACGGTACCAATAACAGGTTACAGAATAAACTGGAAGTATCTGAAAATTCAATGTTTCCAGCTTCCATACTAAATGTATGCCAACTACACAATATTAAGTGTAATTTTTAAAAAATTAAATAATGAACCTAAAAAAAACTCGTAAATTGCATTTTTATTTAAAATTATTCAAGGAAAAAATTAGTTTTAGGCTTTACTTGCTATAAAGTGTTGTATCAAGTATCAAGAGATGAGTGCCATGACTGTGGTAGTATAAATGTATGGGGGATGGAAACATTGGATTTTTGGATAGATCCAGTTTATTCTGTAACTTAATATTGATACCGTTGGATAGAGCTCGTGAAGCACTTTTAGGATCAGTAACCAGTTTTACGATACCTTCTGTAGTTTTTAATATTATGAGGCTGTACCAAATGTATGGAAGCCGGAAACATTGAATTTTCGGATAGATCCAGTTTATTCTGTAACCTGTTATTGGTGCCGTTTGAAAGAGCTCGTAAAGCACTTTCAGGATCAGGAACCAGTTTTTCGATATCTTGTATGGTTTAGAAATAATCGAGTGAGATCACTTATCGTTTCCACCCTGTATAAATAAACTGTATATTTGGAGTAGAAATTAAAACTGCATACCGGGATATACGCCCCAAATGCCGGATATGTGCCCCAGGCTATGTTCGGTAGGGGATAGATGCCTTTTGCAAGAAAACTAACATTTTATTCAACACGATTATTTTTTCGTTATTTATTGTCCATTTTAAAAGTTCACATAAACAAAGTTTTACATTGGCACTTAAAACATAACAAATTAACCCATAAAATTAGGTACTAGGTAAATTAGTAATAACGTAATCCTCATCTAGGTAATCACATTACCAAAAAGGCATTCTAATTAGGTAAAACATTAGAAAGATCCATCGGATGAAGCAATTGGTATTCCATGTCTTCTGGATATATCATTGACGCTAATTTGCCTATCTTGCATTTCTTCCTCGGTCCAAGTAATGATACGCAGTTGGCATTTTCAATCTGAAACATAATATAATAAACATTAAAATACAGTGCGAGTCACGTTAAAGTGTACATATGAAAATAGATGAA